GCGGAGGGGGGAGGGGGGGGGGAGAGAGAGGGAGGGAGGGGGGGGGGGGGGGGGGGGGGGGGAGGGGGGGGGGGGGGGGGGGAGAGGAAAAGAGAGAGAGAGAGAGAGAGAGCATGGGAAAAAGAGCGAAAAAGTAAGAGATAAGGCATTTGGTCGAAAGTGAGAAATTCTAATAGTTGGATCAAAGAGCCTAACGAAAGACTGGTTAAGAAGATATTAAAAAAAGCGAAAAAATCGGACAAAAAAAAGAAATAAATGAAATGGAGGTGACGTTCCTTTGATCGCGTTGACTTGGTCGAGTTGTAACCCTAATTTCAAGTTTCAGATTGTACGTATAAGGTAGCGGAATTATTCTATGTAAAGAAGTCGTAGTCGGGCAACTGAAAGGATGTCTTGTTTTGAAAGATAAAGAAAAGAAAAAGTAATAAAGCACGTTAGGGAGCAATGGCTAACAGAAACATGGACAGGGTTGGTGATGAATGTCCAAAATGAGAGAATATCAGGGCGTTCAGTTCCTGACGATCGATCGATCGATTGATTGAAACGGAATAAATAAACATGCGTAAAGTGTTCGGTTAATCGAATATGATATCGTGCCTGATCACATGTCACACACCTCTGCTGTATATTTATTAATAGTAATGATAAGATAATGACGTATATAAATTATTGAGTAATATTAATGAATATTATTGAGTAATATTAATAAATATTAATAAAGTTGTATATTAATATATACACATATATGTAATTACGTATATTCGTTGTCGGGCGATCCGATTCGATTAACCGAAGTAATTTGTTCGTCGACTAGTTTGTAATGGCAATCATTTCAGCATGATGATTAAAAAATTAACTATCGAATTCGATTGACCGATCGACAATGATTATTCCTGACAGGTGGACAGATGAGACGACTTCACGAGAAAATAATGGCCTCCGCGTCACAATTTCATATGTTTTCGCTCTTTTCCTTATACATTTTATACATATATAGTTTTCTTCCTTTATTCAAAATTTACACATAGTGTCATATGGATTTATTCGCCTATTTTATCGGTGCGTGCAGAGACTAAGTTTCTTTTTCTTTCTTTTATGGAAGCGTATCCATACACATCATGTTAGAAAAGAAATGCATATCCTTATTTCTCGTTCTTGCGATTAGACAGAGTCGAATATTTGCATCGATTCTGTACATATATACAGGGTAGTTAGCAAGAGCCGAACAATTTATGGTTGTCGAATAGACACGGTCACACAGAAGTATACGTGATTTTGTTTTTGTTTGTAAGAGAAGCTATGATCGAGATGAATGCTTAAACAAAAGAAACAAAAATAATAGTATTCTTTATTTAGCATTTTTTATGTGATCTTTTATTCAACAGAAACAAACAATACCTTTTACATATAGGTATCCTTTTCGCAGCGGTAAATTTCCAATTGTTCTCAAAGTTTTTACAACGAATGATATTTTCTACTATTTGGTTTGGTTCGTTAACCGGATATTACACACACACGTACACATATACACACATCTGATACGACTACACGTATTCTTAGCGTTAGACATACCCAGATGTTTTGCTCAAGACGAAATATTTTTGCGTATTAATCGTGATACGCGAGCTGAAGGCGGTGCGTCATGATACGCGGGACTTTCGAAGCGTGTTTCCTTTGTAACACAGGAAGGCTGAAATTAAAGGGTGCTAAGCTCAAGAATGAATGTTCGTTTACGTATGAAAGGTACAGACTGAGCAACTGCGGAATAGAAGATAGAAAATGGAAGAAGAGACAGACTGCGAACCTACGACTGAAAGGTAGCGAAAAAGAGAGTTTTAAAAGAGAACAAAGAGGACAAATGAAAGCAAATTGATACAGAAAAAAAGAAAACAAAGAAAAACATTGGAGAAACTATATTTTCGTGAATTTTTTCATGGATCGATGAGAAAAGGAAGCATAGAGAAAGAGAGAGAGAGAGAGAGAGAGAGAGAGAGAGAGAGAGAGAGAGAGAGAGAGAGAGAGAGAGAGAGAGAGAGAGAGAGAGAGAGAGAGAGAGAGAGAGAGAGAGAGAGAGAGAGAGAGAGAGAGAGAGAGAGAGAGAGAGAGAGAGAGAGAGAGAGAGAGAGAGAGAGAGAGAGAGAGAGAGAGAGAGAGAGAGAGAGAGAGAGAGAGAGAGAGAGAGAGAGAGAGAGAGAGAGAGAGAGAGAGAGAGAGAGAGAGAGAGAGAGAGAGAGAGAGAGAGAGAGAGAGAGAGAGAGAGAGAGAGAGAGAGAGAGAGAGAGAGAGAGAGAGAGAGAGAGAGAGAGAGAACGATACTGATGCTTCAATTGCGAACGCGTGTTCTCCTTGAATATTGTTAATTATCGCTCCGACTTTTTCATGAGTGATATTTTATACGTTTCCTTTAGATTCGCGTTTTGAGGAGCAAGGTAAAAATATTCATGATTGTAACACGCGTTCCTATGTGCCGCGGTTCCCGAAAAGCAATCATGAGAGACGGAGTTGTGCACGTATTTGTTACATAGTGAAAACGAGCGAGTAATATGGAAATATGCGTATGGTATGTCTCTACGAAGCTAAATTGTGTTTAACGACCACTCGTCGCGGCTCCAAAGAAGGTTGATTGAATTGGTAATGTTAAATAAGAAGAAAAAGGGAAAAGATAATTAAGGACGTCAAACTTCCTTCGACGGAGGTACGTGGTTATGTTATCGTATATTATCGTGAAACAGAGCCGACACAATCAGAAAATGGAAGATACAAGAAAGCATAATTGGAACCGGACAGGAAAGAACAAGAAGTAACAAGAACGATAGTAAATAGTGCGTAAGAGAACACCGAGAAAAAATGGAAAAAGTAAATCGAGTCATTGTCATCCAATAACCAGCGTAAAAGTCTACAAACTTGCGATTAATTATGGTATAATTAATGGAGGGTCCTTCGATATACACATAATTGTATTTTTATATTGTTTTTTTTATTAACTGCGTTCCTGAAAGGGAACGTTCAACGGATTTTTCTCTTTTGTTTTTTAAAAGGAACTTTATAAACCATTCGAAACCCAGCTGCTACGACCCTTTTATTACGAAAAAACAAAGGAAAAAGAAACAATCACAACGTCGATGACTCTTTTTTTTTTCTTTGGAAGAAAAGCGACATCGACAGTAAGAATACTGATGTACGATCCAATTAAAATTTGTGTATAAACGATACAAATCTCTTATAAAGGTGGGAACAAGACGTATTTCTAGAATATTTTGTCAATAAACAAATTAATAAAATTCGTTTCTCTTCGACGACCGACGATGAGATTCTTCTCATAATTCATCGATCGAGCGTTACCGACTGGAGATGCGTTTATTCGTAGCGACATCGTGAACGCTGCAATTCACCAAAAGACTGAACGATTTAATATTGTTCGATTATAGTAAGTAAACTATTTTACATAATCCACGAAAGAGAAGGAAAAGGAGATGATACAATAGCTGTTAACCTCGTGACGTGTTCCGCGCGTGCATCCGGCTCCTGGCTCGCTGTCCGTTTTTTTCTTTTTAAATGAACGAATGCTTCTTCGGTGTGGGACCGCATTTTTTCCACCGACGTTCTTCTCGTACACATTCCTATTACGACGTAGGTTAATTTATGATATTATAAATAATAACAATACATACATAGAATTACTGTGGGTCAATGTAGTTCCACCAACAAATTCACTCAGAACTTATTTGTTAAAACGCGTTTGAAAGAATCATCTTGTCGTGGAACTTTATCGACGGTAACGTGTTTTCACAGATGTTTCCATATTACTAGTACAATTTTGTGCCAATAAGAGATATCGAGTTTTAATTAAAGTGAGTGAGTGAGTGAGTGAGTGAATGAGTGAGGGAATGAGAAGTGAGTGAGTGAGTGAGTGAGTAAGTAAGTGAGTGAGTGAATGAATGAGTGAGTGAGTGAGTGAAAGTGAGAGTGAATGAGTGAGTGAGTGAGAATAAGTGAGTGAGTGAGTGAGACCAATAATGGTATAATGTGTACAGAATATTCTCGTACGCGTCTATAACTACGTATTTGCGCACTCTTACATACGTAGAGACGTTCGTTGGAGGAAAAATATCTTTGATTTAACTTGTTAAAGCCTCACATGTTACCAGTGCTTTTTCTTACTGCCCCATTTTATAAACACGTTTTATAAAAAGTGTTACTCTAGACTTTAGACTGAAAAGATTTTATCAAGAATAGAAGATGAATTATAGGGGGTCCGAAAAAACGTTGTGTTAAATTTCGTAGGGGTATATGATATGTATCGTACTTATCGTAGTAAACGTTTAATACCATAGATAAATTAATTATACATGATATATTCTTTTAATTTTAAATAATATTACATATAAATAGGCTAAACTAAAATGCTTTATAACTCTAAACAAAATAATTTTTAAACTCTTTTTTTTCGAAGTATCTACACAATGTTATCAAGTCACTATAACGACCACTACATATTTTTATTTATAACAGGAAACAAAATCACTTTTAACATTTTGACTGCCACGCCAAAATCACATGTTTCGCTCAGGACGCCGCCGGAGTATTTTTATTGTTCAAAGCATATAATGGCAAAATAATAATAAATTGATGATGTAAGACAACATTCTTCCCCAATGGACCGTTTATCTTATTGGTAGTCACGGGTGACCATCGTGGCGCCTTGGTAACAGTTGATAGCGACATATTATAACAAGGCTTCGTTTATTTCAACAAATCATTCGCATTCGTTATTTCGTCGTAAGCAAATCGTCCAGAATATATTACTGAAACGTGTAGAAGTTATTAGTAAACAGTATTTGCTCATTCTATATACAGGGTGGTTGGTAACTGGTGGTACAAGCGGAAAGGGGGTGATTCTGCGCGAAAAAAGAAGTCGAAAATATGGAATAAAAATTTTTCGTTTGAGGCGTTGTTTTCGAGAAAATCGACTTTGAATTTTCGCTCGGTACGCGTGCATTTTATCACGTCTCGTTATAACGGATCTCACTGCAGATCGTTGTCTCGATGGAAAAATTAAAAAAAAAAAATTTTTATTCTATATTTTCGACTTCTTTCTTCGCGTAGAATCACCCTCTTTCCGCTTGTACCAACGGTTACCAACCACCCTGTATAAGAGTAAAGTATGTTCACACTTCACTAACATTAATTATATGATTATAAAGCAGAATTTACGATTATTTTCTAAGGTGTGTTTATAATAATATTCGTAGATTTCCCCTCAAAGATATAGACGCAAACAGTGCACCGTTAGATACAAGATTTGTTCTCATTTTTCTTTTATTGATGTTCTAATAAGAATGTTTAATTGTTCAATGGGGCACTTTCTATTTCAAAGCATCTTCTATTTATCGGTTACATTCAGAATGCCCTAACTGTCAATTTTCATTCAATTTTTACAAGTGTAAGAAGTTCAACCGCTCCGGTCACCAATGACCACCGTGGCGTCACAGGAGAAACCGTGGCCATATGTGACCAACATGGCAGTCAAAATGTTAAGCACGTTTTTATTCGAAGAATTTTTTAAAAGTTACCTGCCACTATATAAGCGTCGTTGATTTTTGTTGTTTATAGCAAGCTGTTTCAAAAATCCCATATATTTGTGCGATTATTATCGAGTCGAATCTCCAATTTAGATTCTAATTAAAGAGTAAGAATAATAGTATCGATCCTGTGTCCATTCCGTCGTGTTCAGACTCAATCAGGAACTTTTGTCGAGCACTCCTGTTATAGATATGATCTCCATATCTCCCGCCGTTACATTTTCTAAGCAATTTTCGTGGTCGATGACGTTTCAAGAGTCGAGGATAAAAGGACATCGTCGCCTGGGTCTCGAAATAGCGAACAGTCTGATTCATATCCGACGAAATGCCAAACTGCCAAATAGTATATTTTACACCCTAACTCTCCCAACCCTCCCCCTGTAACGCTCTTCTTTGCTCCCTTACCGCTTAATAAGCGCTCCCCAACTCCCTACTCCTCGATTTGTACAAAACAAGAAGGTGAAAGAGAGAGAGAGAGAGAGAGAGAGAGAGAGAGAGGAAGGAAAGTGTAATAAATAGTAAAAGATAAAAAAAAGAAGAAAGCGCAAAGTGTGCAAAACGTAGAGTGTAAACCTGTATCGTGTTAGAATGTGAGAAACCTGTACCTTCGAGGCGATGCTAGAGATGTCTAGCACCGTCCGTTTTTAGTTTAAAGCCGTGTTCCATCTTTTTCAGTTCGTCAGTTGCGTGCAGTTTAGCAACGATACATATACATCGGCGATTACTATCGGAAAGATTTTTAAGGAAAAAGAAAACAATTTTTTAATTTTTCGTTGCGTCGCGTCGTTTCAATTGAACATTGGACGTTGACGTGTTGCTCGAAATATTAATTCCTTGAAATTGTTGTAAAATTGCCTTGGGAGTGTTTTAAAAATAATCTGTGTAATTTTTATAAAATGATTGTTGGATTTTTTTGACGATAACGTTTGTCTACGTTGACTACAGATATTTTTATTATTTAACGATTTTAATAATGATAAATTT